GCCTGACTTTTTAGACAGCGGTATAATACCCCCTCAGGTTCTGCTGCTAAGGTTCCTCAGTTTCAGACAGTTTGGTATGTACTTCCATAGCCACAAGGTGTCTCAAAGGCAGAGTCACTGTTCTGAAATGTCAAAGTGGCTAAGGAAATAACTTTGAAAAAAATTTCCTAAATGGAGTATGTGAAGCAAATAGTAAAGGAGGCAGAGTGGAGGAACACAGCAGAGACAATGACAACAGGGGGAGACAGGATGGACACAAGAGGACAGATGACATATAACTGGGCAGGTCACTGATAGGCAGGAAAAACACAGTAGCTGTTTTCTTACTACGAACTGAGGTACCTGTTTCAAGCCTGTGTCACTTCGAGCTGAGATGACTAAGCCTGCTGTCAAATTAAGGTTTAGCAATCCATCTCCTGTCCCAGCTGTTTGACCTCAGCATGTATCAGGTTGCCATGTGGTTCTGACCCTCAGCTTAGCCATGAAGGAGAGACAGTTTTTGCCAAAAATATTCCGTTCTATGGCCCTCAAAAGAAACTGAAACAAAAATGGATCAAAACTTGTTCCTTTTTCACTACCATACCTTTGGGCCAATCCAGTTGTTTCACAGAACTGCTTGTTTCTTCTAGATCCTAATTAGTGACAGACTGCCCAGCTTGAACAGGAAGGCTCATCAGAAGCATGGGGTCCCTCTCAGAGGAGACAGTCCTCCATGAACTCCTCCAACATGAATCCTTCCCACGGGCTGCAGTTCTCAATGAACTGCTCCAGCACGGGTCCCTTCCATGGGGTGCAGTCCCTCAGGAACAGGCTGCTCCAGCATGGGTCCCCCAACAGGAACACAAGTCCTGCCAGCAAACCTGCTCCAGTGTCTCTCCATGAGTCTACAGGTCCTGTCAGAAGTCTGTTCCAACGTGGACTTCCCATGGGGTCATGGCCTCCTTTCATCATCCACCTGCCCTGGCATGGGCTCCTCCATGGGCTGCAGATGGATCTTTGCACTCCTGTTGACCTCCATGGGCTGCAGGGGCACAGCTGCTTCACCATAGTCTGCACCACAGGCTGCTCTGGTGCCTGGAGCACCTCCTCCGACTCCTTCTTCACTGACCTTGGGATTTGCAGAGTTGTTTCCTCTCTGGCTGCTGTTACTGCAGCATCTTTTTCCTCTTCTTAACTTAATTCTCCCAGAGGCACTACCACTGCTGCTGATGGGCTCAGCCTTGGCCAGTGGTAGGTCTGTCTTGGAGCTGGCATTGTCTCTGTCAGACATGGGGGAAGCTTTTGACAGCTTTCCCACAGAAGCCAGCCCCATAGCCCTGCCCACCCCACTACCAAAACGTGGCCATGCAAAACCAGTGTAGCTGACTGATACTTGCTCCAATTCAGGTGAATATTTTGTTCCATAACCCTGTTGGTAAGTAGAGTAATACACATTTTTATACACAAGGTGACATTACTTTCATAACGATTGTTATTCGTAACACTGTTTTGGAATACAAACATGAAATGTCAGCCTTTCAAAATACTTCATGTGCACCTTTTCTTGTCAAAACTGAGATTTTCATGAAGAGCATCTCAATGGCTACAAATAGATTTGAAAAACACTCCATCAAAAAAACTTCATGCAGTTCTTGGCAGAATCTTTGTTTTAAACAGTAGCATCCTACAGCATAAAGGGGTTCATATCTTCATAGTTGCAAAAAGGAGTAAAATGCTCTTACCTTGCATTTTGACATATCAAAAGCTACATTGGTCTGAGTAATTCCTACTCCTAAATTTGAAAATGCTTAAAATTAATATGTAGCAAACTTCAGGGTGAAGGAGTTGCAGCTGATTTATATATCACTTTTGACAAATCCACACAAATCTGAAGTACTTCAAGGAACAAAAAAATACTCTCTTAATTATATGTTTTATTTAAGGCACATATATCTCATTCTACATTTGTTTCCTATTCAGAATCACTCCACTAATTTAGACAAGAAAGGAAGAATAAAACTAAAAAGCCCTGGACTTAAAATTGTTTGGGGTCCACCTGTAAAAAGTGCTGAAGGGTAGTATCTACATCAGGTGAAGGAGAAGCTGCTGTTTTCACATAGCAGAATTACTGAAGTATCCTCATACATAACCACAACCAAACAAAAACTACGTATCACAGTACAAGATAATTCTATCTTTTAACAGTAAATTTGCTGCTATATAAAGCATCTTGACAACATAGCTTATTATCTGTCCCGATATGAGGTTCTGAAAACGAAACAGGACAGACTTTCAATAGCTCTACCTTCACATACACACAGCTGTCGCTTTAGGAACAAGTGGAGTGAACTACCTGTGTCTCAGTGGAAAAGGGAAGGGCTGTACATCTTTTACAAAATGGAGGAAACATAAAGGAATATAAAAAGAATGAAAAATGCTTTTCACACAGCATAAATAAGACACTAATGTCTCCCTTTAGAGACAGCAGCTAAATAGCATTAATTTACAGGCAAACCCAACTACTCACATAGTTATCTGCAAAATATCTGCAAGTCTAATCTTTCTTTCTGTCCTTTGGTAGCCGTGCATAAATTGGAGCAAAGCACCGAGTTTGAAAAAGAATTCCAGCAGGCTTCCCAGGTGTTCCCATTTGAATTTCTTTTGCCCACACCACAGTGAATCACTCTTATATTGATCTTTTGGCTGCTGCCTGATAGTGTGAAATGCATTTGCATTGTACTTTTGGAAGTCACACTCTTTGTGGTTCGCTAGCGATCTCTGAACTATGTCACCAACATGGAAGTTGTAGAACTTGATGAATCTTACTGTAATGTAGAAGATATGGAATGTCAAATACTGATTTGTACGATTATCATGAAGTTTTTCAAGTTACACGCTGATACATGAGCAGTGTTCTATCCAGTTAGACAGAAATTGCTGCAGGAGGAAGGAACCGTGTATGAATCTAGACAGGGGAAAAATAAAACAGTATAAACAGTAGATGTAAAATGCATTGGAAGACAAGAGGTATTTATTAAATACAAATTGCTTCTCGGCACTAGAAAGATAATAATAATACTCAGCAACTGAAGGCTAGAGGGAGGATGATATGCACCTTTGATGTCTATCTTTTGCCCACTTTCTTGTTCTTTAGCACAATTTGGCTGCAAGAATCCAAATGCAGCTACAAAATGAGAGAACACCACCAGTGAAATGAGTGCTCTGAACATGGGCATTTTCAACATGCTCTTGGAGGGCACGTATATCTTTCTTTACATCTCATTGGCCTAGTCAGCTCCCAGCCATTCAGATGTTTTAAACTTTCACAGCTTACAGAAATAGCATTATATAAAAATAACAGGAACAAGGCTATTGAGTTAGGTACAAGGTTTGTTAATGATGTGCAAGAATACAAGTGAAAAGCAAAATCCTGAACGTACAGGCTATACCTGAAAGCTGCACATAGATCCAACAGTATAATAGAATCCACTTTACATAAAGGGTTTTCATCCACTGTAAGAAATGATTGTGTTGACCTGTGGTAATACCACAATGATTTTAAAGGCCCAGAGTACATTCAAAGTCTAAGAAGGAGATCAATAACTTTTTAAAATGTTTCGAGGACAAATTGATTTTAAGTAGTGGGGAGGGACTTAGGAGAAGTGTTAAACATAGCTAAGTGATAGCTGGTTTTAGGCAATGACTAGGACATTGGTTCTGTGCCATGTGAGCTATTTGGAAAGTCATTCCATTGGAAAATATTTATCTTCATGTATTAATTAAAAGGAAGAAATCATAAAGAAAACAAAAATATTTTTTCATGAGATTTTATTAGACTGAGTACCTGTCTTGGGAACTACTGATCAAAACTCTCAGCTGTAGGTGAAAAATCAAGTGTGTTATGTTGAACATAACTGAAATAACTTGCATTTTGTTTTTAGACTAACTCAAGGGGATCAAATTTCAGATTGTCTGTTTTACTGCAAATGTAGGCACTTTGAAATCTACTGTCCTTCCAATTTGCTATTGGGCAGACGGCTGCAGTGAGTAAACTGCGCCAGACTCAGTGAGACTGTGGCCTGACGCCATTTGTGACCCACAACTTTGAAAACTACTTCTGAACAGACATCAGTGCTATACAATTGTGTAAATATGTTTCATGAATGAGAAATCTGAATCCCTTTTACATTTTGGTAACATGCTAGAGCTAACAGCACGTCAGTTGATGTCCATATTCATATGGTATCAGTCAGTAAAAAGTCTTAAAATTATATGCTATTTTGTAAATAGGATTACTTTATAATTTTGGTCTTGTTAGGATGTTAGGACTAAATATGTTGACTTCAAGTACTGATTACAACAAAGCAAAATTAATCATTACTATTATGCTTCAAAGGAGCATAGATAGTACAATTAGCTGCTTTTTCAGTCCTTCATCTGGCTCCTCTGTGAAACTCTGCAAGTGTGATACTTTTTAATTCTATGAGATTGAAATTAATCTCCAGTATCCACAAAATAGCATTTTTGTATCTTTTGCTCATACTCATGTCCTGATGAGACTATAACTTTAAACATCCCATGAAATCCAACGTTGTAAAGGTTAAGTGAAAGGCATAAAAGGGCAAAAGAGGTTGTCAAAGTACAAAACAAACAAAACTTTCCTTCTCTTGTACAGCTTTTCCTAGTTACTGTTTCAGCATGGTGGGCCAGATTTGAAGTAGCAACACTGTGACTGTTTCCAGTATCCCTCACTTTGCTTGCGTTTATGGATTTGAGGTAAGTCTTCTGTATCATCTAGGGAATAAATGACTACCCACGACTGAAGACAGTAGAGGTGTTTTAGTTTCTGAAAGGCAATAGCAAGTCTAGCAGATATTATTGACCAAGGCTATTGAGATAGTTGGCCATGGCCTCAGCATCTACCTGCTGAATAAAAAGCAGCAGCAGCAGCATTAGCAGAAGACACGCAGGTTTAGAGCAACAGAAGGCATGGCAGGAAGCAAAACTAAGAGACAGCAACAGTAAGACAAAGTACATATAAACTTTTAATGAATTAACCTTACAAAAGACAATAGCTTCAAAACATTTGACACGTTTGTACAAAACTATTCCAGCATTGTTAGTTCTCTCTTCAGAAAGAATGCCAGCAAGCCACCCAACGTGTCCCTGGCTATGAGATGCAACTGGTGATCACATCCAAATCATGTGTGGACAGAGTAAACTTATTTACAAATACCGTATACTTTAATACCAGATTAGTGGATGCTATTGGGGAGCGACTGTTTTTTCCAGAAAACACCATGCATCAGGAAATAGTATGCACCCCTAGCTTTATTGCCTTTTTTCCCCACATTTGTCACTAACATCTCTCTTTAGTCCTTTCAGGATGTGTTAATCCTTCTGATTCCTATTCTTTCTTTTCTTGTCTTTGAATAACAGTGCAAGTAGCAGTACAATCTTCCAGTCCTATAGCGCACATCGCCACTGTCCTTGAACATAGGAATATCAAGGTGCAAAATGATGGCTCATGGGACTATTCTGCAGCCATATTAAAATAAGTGCCACATACCAGAAAATAGCACGCATGTTAAGGGCCAAAATGTAGTTAAAAAGTGCGTGATACTTTCCTGAAAATATGGTATCGATGACACATAAAAACATCTTCAAGATGCCACGTTCCCTTGTGAAAGGGATCTTGTCATTTCAGTATGTACAAAGTATGTCTTCAATTCTCCTTTTCCTTTTACATTTATTATTCCTCTGCAAGTGCTCATGTACCCAAGTGTTTGCAGGACGTTGTTCGTCTCCTCTGTAACCTGCAACAATACAGTAATACAACCACTGTTGATAACAAAGCAAAGTAGAATCCTCTTCCAGAGTATGAAGAGAACACATGCTCTGTGCAATTAAAAGGGTTTTGCTATAATGCTTACAAGGCCTTTGAGCATCTTAAGTGAGGTTTAAGCACCTGAGCTTTCAAGTAGTCTGTTGCTGGATGCTCACTGTAACCACTTACATCAAGTATCAAATCTGGTGTAACCACTTCTGTACCTAGTGCTGCAGAGAGCTTGTAGATACACAAATGGCACTAGGAACAACATTCTTCCTCACAGACCATTTTTCTCAACTTCAGGAGCCTAATTTCACTTCAGTAGACCTAAGGTTCCCCATCTTTTTACAAATAATAGGCCATGTAAATGAAGTCATATAAGACATTAGCAGCACCTATCAGAGCTGCTGTTGCCAGTTTCTCACGTAACTGCCAGTGAACCCAACTTTAGGCCATTCTGTCACTTTTGGTGGAAGCCCACTAGGACAGAGCTTGTTCAACAACATCAGTTGTCTCAGACTGTCTGTGTTTCTTTGTGAAGCAAGCAACTGTTTGTAGATGTCATTGCTTTAACATTACTTCTGCTTTTTGTTGGTAACTTTGCTTTTCCATTATTTAGTTCTGAGTAGTCTCAGTCATAGGTCTGGAGTGCTCTCAGTCGCATGCTGGGATCCCAAAGTGCTAGCACATGCTTAAAATGGGATCTCTGAGTATGGAATCACTGGAAAGACAGAAAATTGAAGGTGTTTCTATACAAGTCTATCTATAATCTATACAGATAATAATCTACAAAGATTATTAATCACATGATTCATTACAAGGGAATTTCATGATTCCTTTATGGATTTAACTTGATGTACAGCAGTTACAATAATTTCCTTTATTTAGAAATAAATAACATCAGGAATACCCTTCAGAGATCAGGTAGCTAATATTTTATGAGTTTAGAAAGTCACAGAATAGAAATGTGATTTCCCTCGAAATCTCTCTTAATTTAGGGATGCATTTCCAGGCAACCCATGACTTCCTGCACTTTATTCCTCTGAAGGGTCAAGACAAATTTTGATTCTCCTCATGTTTTCCCTATAATTTGAATTCTTTACTTAGCTACAAAACACAGACCTGTTTAGTGTGCAAATGTATGATGTCTTTTCAAGAACGAAACTCAAAGGAGTAAGACAAATTCTAGCACAAAACCAAGACTTACCTGTATTTTATCTAATACACCAGTGCTGTCCATCCTGCTGGCCACATTTACTGTATTGCCCCATATATCATATTGTGGTTTTTGAGCTCCAATTACTCCAGCTATTACAGGTCCATGGTTGATACCTGGAAAACATCAGAACTTAACATTAGGAATGAAGATCCACCAAATGAGGACACACAGTCCATCTCGCAACATAACACCTCAATGAACATAGTATTTGGCACAGCTGAAGAGTGAGTACAGCAGCAAACAGTCTGTTCACAATAGTTTTATCAACCATTTACAGCAGGTGAATGCTAGTTACAAAAATTTCCAAAGTCAGTTCATCTAATTTTAATTTCACAGCTCCCTTCCATCCTGAGTAAATTTCATATTTTCAACTATTGCCACCCTAATAACCTGCTACTGACTTTATTAGCTAGCATGAGGAACACACTGTGGGAGAGCAGCAGCTTCTGGGAAAACAGACAGGTAGGAATTTATTTTCATTTCTGCTTGTAGTGAAAAGGGCCTCTCCTCTGCAACTGCAACAGTTGATGGCAGAATCAAACTACCTTTACAGAATCCTTTGCTTCTTAAGTGCAGAATAAACTAATGCAAATGAACTGAAGGAGTTTGAAGCCTTGTTCTGAAGGCTGGATAGACTACAGAATGGTCTTAAATAACTGCGATACAAATAAATGTATTCAAACAATTCGATTATGCATGGAGTAGAACAATGTAGTATAGCCTCTCATTAGACTCTGGGCATTTTGTATCTTGCACTCACTTTGTAACCTGCGCTACATTTGTACAGAGAGTGAGTTGTACTCTGTTAGTAGGAAAGGAAACCAGAAGGCAATACCAAAAGCACTATCATTAACCAGCATCAATTGCACTGTGGTTGTAACTATATATACACCAATGAGCAGGAAAGCCAAGTTAGATCTAGTGAGAAATAAACCCTGAACGAGTCATAACTGACTTCTATTAATTTGTTGACAGAAACCATCACTAAGGATATATATATAGCAAAATGAAAGTGTGACTGTAGGACGGAGAGGGATCTCAGAGCTGGCTCATCTAATGTGTAACATAGCAGCACGGGCTAGCAACCACACTACAAGCCCACTTGGAAACTTTGGAAAAAGTGACTGTAGAAGTTAAATTCAGAAATTTGGGACAATGTGCTACCCTAAAAGATGTCAGAGAGAACCTGATAAATACTTGTCTAAGTGCTTGTGATTAAATGCACGAAGGGACTTGGGTCTTGCAACACTCTGCATTAACAACCAGGCCATGGGAGTGTCTTTCTACTTCATGACATCCCATGTGTAGAAAGCACTAGGGACCTAAGAGTAGAATCTACAAATCCATCTGCTGGGTAGTCTAAGCTGGCTAGTAGGGAATACTGAAGAGATGTGTGTGGCATACATTCTGCCATGGTCTAGAAATTAGGTCAGCGTGGTGGGACTTTCCTACAAAATAAAATGGGCAGGAGGACACTTTTATTTTTTGTACCTCCTTCTTGAGCCACCACTGCTGATGGCTTGAGTAATACCTCAGGGGCTGAAGACCCAGCTTCAGATCCCTTCTTCTTCGAGGAGACTTCTACCTGTATCTCTTGGGAATGTGTTCTGGTCACCCATGCA